ATCATCATCAGCATCATCTTCATCATCGTCATCATCGTCATCATCATCATCATCATCATCATCATCATCATCATCATCATCATCATCATCATCATCGTCGTCATCGTCATCGTCATCGTCATCGTCATCGTCATCGTCATCACCATCAGCATCATCAGCATTGTCAGCATCACCAGCATCGTCATTACCATCATCATCACCACCACCATCATCACCACCACCATCATCATCATCATCATCATCATCATCATCATCATCATCATCATCATCATCAGCATCATCGTCTTCTTCTTCATCATCATCATCATCATCATCGTCGTCGTCGCCGTCGTCATCGTCGTCGTCGTCGTCGTGGTCGTCGTCGCCACATCATTTGGAACGTCGGCCCAAAACGGCCCAAGACGGCTCAAGATCTCTTCATACGCATCCCAAATGGCCACATCATTTCGGACGTCGTCCCCAAGCGGCCCCAGACGGCCCAAGATCGCGTCAGACGCCTCCAAAATGGCTCCATGCGGGCCCAAGAGGCCCCCCGAGAGGGCTGCAAGAGCGAAACACTGCATGGCCCCAAGAGGCCGCGGAGAGGGCTCTAGACCGACCAAAAGGGCTAGGGATTTTGGGCCAAATCAGGCAGGGAGCGCCAAACAAGCGTCAGGAGGGCCGAGGAGCCCCATGGTGCGCTTGGAGCCGTTTTGGGACCGTCTTCGGGATGTCTCAAGCCGTCTTTGGCTGCTGTTGGTAGTGCTTCTTGGGCCGTCATCTTGGGGCCTCTGGAGGTCGTTTAAGAGCTTCTCGGCGCTTCTTCTCGGCCTCCTGGAAGCCTCCTGAAGACCTCGTGGGCTGTCTCGGGTGCCTCTTGGGCCGTGTTGGGGCCGTCCGGGTCCGTCTGGGGGTTGTCTGGGGCCGTTTTGGGCGTCTCTGGAGCAGTCTGGGGACCGTCTGGGGGTCGTCTTGGGCCGTCCTAGGCCGCTCTTGGGGTTGTCTTGGGTACCCCGTGGGCCGCCAGGGGGCCCTCAGGAGCCCTCCTGGGGCCATCTTGGGACCCTGTATGGCCGTCTTGGACGCTATCAAGAGAGCAAGCCCAGGAAATGCCAACATGTACGTTTTCCTTCGGAAATGGGACGATTTTTCGGTGTTCGGGCTCCTCTGGGCTCGTCGTGGAACCCACGTGGAGCGTTTTGGAAGCCTCCTGGACCGTCTTCGGCCGTCTGGGGGCCCTCTTGGAGGCCTCCTGGTGCGTCTCGGAACGCTTTTGGGCCATCTCGGACGCGCGCCGAGGCCTGCTGGGGCTCGCAGGGGCCGCCTGGGCCGGTCCGCTGCCACCGATCGGCACCTCCGCGAGCGCTGGGCCAGCCATTGTAGGAGAGATGACGTCGGGCTCCAGCTTCGCCTCGCGCATCTCGCTCAACAGCACGAGCGCGCACTGCCACTGCTCGCCTTTCTCGCACGCGCTGACCCCACCGCTGTAGCTGACTAGGGCTGAACCGCGGCCTCCGGCCGTGAGACTTGCCCGCCCTGGCGTGGACGTGGAAGTGGAGCGTCTCTGGGGCCTTGCGGGTAAGGGGAGGTTGGAGGGGACGGCGTGGATGAAGGAGGTGGCCGCTGGAGGAAAAGGTGGGCGAGGGATGCAGGCAAGCAGGCCTGAAGGCAGGAACGCGGTGGTGGAGGCGGTGTCAGTGGAAGCACACCGATGTAGGCATGACATGGTGTGGACAGAAGCTGTTTATGACGCCGCAGTCTGTGTTCATCATAGCTTCTGCGGGCAAGGTAGCCGTGAGAAGTTTATCTGCTCTTCGCCGGGGCCGAATGAGAATTTGATTGGGCAGTGTGGTGGCAATGGGGCCAGTGGGCGCGGCCTAGGAGGCGCGCAAGAGGGCGGCGAGACAGAACTCCCTGAGAAGGCCCCAGTCCGAGGACACGAATCGACTTTTCGAGCGCACCTCCCCAAGACGTCCCCAAATAGCGCAGAGATGGCTCCCAGAGGGTCCAAGAAGCCTCCCAAACGATGCTGGAAGTTCGACGCTCCCCAAGAGAGAAGCATGCAAGGCCTCTCGGGGGCCGCTTGGGGGCCTCTTTTCGTCCTCCTGGGGGTGGGTCTCTCGGAGCCCTCTTTGGCAGTCTTGACTGCATCTTGGGCCGTCTTGGGGCGATGGGGCCGTCTTGGGCGCCTTTCGGACCATCTTGGGACAATATTGGGGCCATATTGGGCCAAAATTGGGGGCTACTGGGGCTGTCTTTGGTGTTTCTGGAGCGCCTCTGGAGCTTTCCCGGACGGCCCAGAGACCGTCTTGGAGACTGTCCAAACGTAAAGGCTTGGAGACGGGGCGGCGGGGGCCTCTACAGCCGTCTTGGAGACGGGGCGGTGGAGCCGTCTTGGGACATTATTAACTGCTCTTGGGGCTGTCTTGGGTGCGTCTTGGGCCGTATCGGGCGCCTCTGGAGCCGTCCCGGGGCAGTGTGTGGCCTTTTGGGCGCCCTCATGGGGGCGTCTGGGCGCGTCTTGGGGCGAGCTGGGGGCCTTATAGCCTTCTCGACGCTGCGAGGACGAAAAAGCAAAATATATTGAACATGTGCGTTTCCCGTCGGGAATGGGACGGTTTGGGCCTCTTGGGGCTCTCCTGGAGGCCCTCCTGGGCCGTCTTGGGAGCCTCCTGGCCTGCCTTGGGTGCCTTTGGGGCTGTCGTGGGGCTCCCCAGGGTGCTCTGAGGCCGATTTGGCGCCCCCTGGAGCCTCTCGGAACCGTCCCGTTGGCCATTATTGGCTGCTCTTGGGGCTGTCTTTGGTGCGTCCTGGGCCGTCTCGGGCGCATCTGGAGCCGTCCCAGGGCCTTTGGGGGCCTCTCGGCGCGTCTTGGGGCGAGGTGGAGGGCCTCTATAGCCGTCTTGGACGCTGCGGGGACGAAAAAACTGAACATAGCGGAAATGTGCGTTTCCCATCGGGAATGGGACGATGTGGGCCTCTTGGGGCTCTCCTGGAGGCCCTGGAGACCCTCCTGGGCCGTCTTGGGGCATCCTGGCCTGCCTTGGGGGCCTCTGGGGCTGCCCTGGGGCTCCCAAGGGTGCTCTGAGGCCGTTTGGGCGCCCCTGGAGCCTCTCGGAGCCGTCCCGTTGGCCATTCTTGGCTGCTCTTGAGGCTGTCTTGGGTGCGTCCTGGGCCGTCGGGGCCGTGTGGTGCCCTTTGGGGGCCTCTCGGCGCGTCTTGGGGCGAGGTGGAGGGCCTCTATAGCCGTCTTGGACGCTGCGAGGACGAAACAACTGAACATAGCGAAAATGTGCGTTTCCCATCGGGAATGGGACGATGTGGGCCTCTTGGGGCTCTCCTGGAGGCCCTGGAGACCCTCCTGGGCCGTCTTGGAGGCATCCTGGCATGCCTTGGGGGCCTCTGGGGCTGCCCTGGGGCTCCCAAGGGTGCTCTGAGGCCGTTTGGGCGCCCCTGGAGCCTCTCGGAGCCGTCCCGTTGGCCATTCTTGGCTGCTCTTGAGGCTGTCTTGGGTGCGTCCTGGGCCGTCGGGGCCGTGTGGTGCCCTTTGGGGGCCTCTGGGCGCGTCTTGGGGCGAGGCGGAGGGCCTGTATAGCCGTTTGGGGGCACTCATGGGGTGCTCTGGGGGCGTCTTGGGGCGATCAGGAAGGCCTGTATAACCGTGAAAACGAAAAGAGCGAGCATATAAAAAATGCACGTTTTCCGAAGCGAACGGGACCATTTTTGCCTCTTGGGTCCCTCCTGGGGGTCCTGGTTTGGGGTCCTCTGGGGCCGGCTTGGGCGCGTCTTGGGCCATCTTGGAGCTCCCTGGGCCGTTTGGGGACGCGCTTGGAGGTCTGTTGGGCCGTCCTGGGGCGGTCTTGTGGGTGTCTTCGGCCGTCTTGGAGCGTCGGCTAGCCGAGAAGGCGAGAAGGCAAGGGCGGTCTTGTGGGTGTCTTCGGCCGTCTTGGAGCGTCGGCTAGCCGAAAAGGCGAGAAGGCAAAATTTCTTCAAACAACAAAAAATAACGTTGGCCTCTGGGGGCATGCTTCGGAGTACTGTTGGATGCTCTTGGAGGCCTCTTGGGGGGGTCTGGGAGCCTTGTGTGGGCATATGGGGGCCCAGGGCTCGGAATGTCAGGGCTTTTCCCTGTTCTTTGGCCCCCTCTTGGGCCTGGCTTGGGGTCCTCTGGGGCCGGCTTGGGCGCCTCTTGGGCCATCTTGGATCTCCCTGGGCCGTCTTGGGACGCGCTTGGAGGCCTGGTGGGCCGTCCTGGGGCGGTCTTGTGGGTCTCCTCGGCCGTCTTGGGACGTCGGTGTAGAATCACAGCGCAAATTGTATACTTATAACAGAACTGCGTAGAAGGGCACAACGGACTGTGCTTCTACACATCACACAGCAAAGTGTAGAATTGGGACCAACAAGCTGTAAATCTACAGTTCCGGGAATATGTAGAAGCCTTTTCCTCCCCATGGAAGCGATATGAGGGCCTAGCCGTAACCGAACCCGCCGTGGGCCCTGTTAGGCACATCCTGGGGCCCTCTTGGGACTGTTTTGGGGACCGCCGGGGGCTCCATGAGGCTGTCTTAAGCTTCTTTCGGGTAGTCCTCGGGCCGTCTTTGGGCACCCGGCGGGGCCTCCTAGACCATCTTGGGGCGATCTGGGATGGCCGTTGAGCCGTCTGGGACCGTCATTGGCCCGAAATGGGGAGAACACAGGAACCTTTAGAATGCCTACAGAAAATCTATGATTTCGGCCCCGGAAGATCGTCGTCGGGGTCCGGCTCGGCCGTTCGGAGGGTCCTGGCCGTCTTGGGCCGTCTTGGGCAGTCACGGGGCTGCTCGGGTCCTCTTGGGCCGTCCTCGCGCGCCCTGGGGCATCTGAGAACTGTTTTGGGGCTGTCGGAGGCCGTCTTGGGGCCACCTAAGGGCTCTCTGGAGCCGTCGGAGAGCGCCAGGGCGCTTCGGGCGGATTCGGACGTTCGGGGGCAGCTCGCGATCTTGTCGCCCCTTTCGTACGCGCATCCACCAGAATTGTAATACAGATGACGTTGGGTTCCAGCTTCGCTTCCCGCATCCCACTCAACAGCGCGAGCGCCCACTGCCACTGCTCGCCCTTCTCGCACGCGCTGATCCCAGCGCTGTAGCTGACTAGGGCAGACCTGTGGACTCCGTCCACGACATCAGCTCGACGTGGCGAGGGGTCTCTGGGCAAGCGCGGGGGGGCGCGGCTGCAGGGCCGAAAGGCAATCATGATGGCGTCGGGCTCCCCCCCTCCTGGAAGCAATTCTGAGGCCACTTAGGGCTTCGTGGGGGCCGTTTGGGGATCTCTTGGGGGGTTGTTGCCTGCGATATGCCTGTCGCCTCTCGTCCGCTCCCCCGCTCCTGGAGGGAATTCTGGAGGCACTGAAGGCTTCGTAGGGGCCGTTTCGGAGCCTCTTCGGCCTTCTTTTGGGCCTCCCGGGGGGGCTCTTAGGGCCCTCTCGGGCCGTCTTGGGTGCCTCTTGGGCCGTCTTGGGGCCGTCTGAGGCCCGCCTCGGCGCCTCTTGGGCTGTCTTGGGCCGTCTTGGGCCGCTCCTGGGGCCGTCTTGGGTGCCTCTTGGGCCGTCTTGGGCGCCTCCTGGGCCGTCCTGGGGCCGTCCTGGGGCGTCTTGGGACCGTCTTGGGGCCCTCCTGGCCCGTCTTGGGGCTCTCTTGGGGTCCTCTTCGGCCGTCTTGGAGCGGTCGGGGGGACTTCTTGGGCCGTCTTGGAGCGTCGGGAAGCCGAAGAGGCGAGGAGGCCGAAAACATAGAAAAACACAATAGAAATCGACGATTTCTGTCGCTCGGGGCCCTCTTGGGAGGCCTCTTGGGAGGCCTCTTCGGGCGTCTTGGACGCCTCTTGGGCCGTCTGGGGCGAATCTCGGGCGTCTTGGGCCCATCTTTAAGCGTGCCGGGGCTCTCCGGGGCCGTCTTGGGGGCTTCTGGGGGCCCTCTCGACATGTCCTGGAGCCTGCCTGGGCGGCCTGGGGCGGCCCGGGGCCAGCCCGGGGCGGTTTCGGTGCATTGGGGCCTGCGCCCTTCTGGCACGCACTGGGCCCTGCAATGTAGTAGAGACTAGGGATGACCCGCGGCCTTCCGGCCGCGGAATCTGCCCGCCATGGCGTGGACGTGGAAGTGGAGCGTCTCGGGGGCCTCGCGGGGGGGAGGTTGGAGGGGACGGCATGGATGGAGGATGTGGCCGCTGGAGGGCGAGGTAGGCGAGGGATGCAGGCAGGCAGGCCTGAAGGCAGGAACGCGATGGTGGAGGCGGTATCAATGGACGCACACCCATGCACGACATGATGTAGCTGTTTCTCACGCCGCGCTCTGTGTTCGAAATAGTTTTTGCGGGGCGGGTCGCCGTGATAATTGTATCTGCTCTTCGCCAGGGCCGAATGATAATTTTATCTGGTAGTGCGGTGAGAATGGGACTGGTGGGCGCGGCCCAAGAGGCCCGCAAGAAGGCGCCGAGACGGCCCAAGAAGTCTCCGGGACGGGCCAAGAGGCTTCCAAGACGGCCCAAGAGGGCCCCACGAACTCCCTAAGACGGGCCTCGATGCGAGGACACGAAACGACCGTTCGAGCGCACCGCCCCCAAACGTCCCCAAAAAGCCTAGAGATGGCTCCCAGAGGGTACAACAAGTTTCCAAGACGACGCTGGAAGTTCGACGCTCCTCAACAGGAAGCATTCAAGGCCTCTTGGGGGCCGTTTTTCGTCCTCCTGGGGGCCTCTCGGGGCCATCTGGAGTGCCTCTTGGGCCGTCTTGGGGCCCTGCCGGGCCGTCTCGAGCGCCTCTGGGGCCATCTTTGGGCCGTCTTGGGGCCATCTTGGGCCGTTATTGGGCGCTCTTCGGGTTGTCTTGGGTGTCTCTTAAACCGTTTCGGGCGCCTCTGGAGCCATCCCGGGGCACTCGGGCCGTTTGGGGGCCCTCCTCGGGGCGTCTTGGGGCGTTTTTACTCAACAGCGAAAACTGATAGGTTTCTAGTGGTGTTCAGAAGGGAGGTCCGGGCGGCATCCGGACAGCGAGGGCCGGGCTCAGGGCCGGGCTCGTTTTAAGCAAACAGTCACACACTTCGTGCTCTTCGACCTCCCAGAACTCCATTCCCGGGCCACATTTTGAATGTCCGAAGCCAACTGTAGGCCACTTCGTGCTCTACGACTTCCCAGAACTCCATTCCCGGGCCATATTTTGAATGCCCGAAGCCAACTGTAGGCCACTTCGTGCTCTTCGACTTCCCAGAATTCCATTCACGGGCCAAATTTTGGATGCTCGGAGCCAACTGTAGGCCACTTCGTGGTCTTCCACTTCCCAAATCTCCATTCCCGGGCGACATTTTGGATGCCCGGAGCCAACTGTAGGCCACTTTGTGCTCTTCAACTTCGCAGAACTCCACATTCCCGGACCACATTTTGAATGCCCGGAACCAACTGTAGGCCACTTCGTGCTATTCCACTTCCCAGAACTCCATTCCCGGGCCATATTTTGGATGCCCGGAGCCAACTGTAGGCCACTTCGTGGTCTTCGACTTCCCAGAACTCAACTCCCGGGCCACATTTTGGATGCCCGGAGCCAACTGTAGGCCACTTCGTGCTCTTCCACTTCCCAGAACTCCACTCCCAGAGCCACGCTTTGAATGCCCGGAGCCAACTGTAAGCCACTTCGTGCTCTTCCACTTCCCAGAACTCCATTCCCGGGGCTACATTTTGAATGCCCGGGCCACATTCATGGGAGTGCCTGTTTTGGAGCCACACTCATTGATGCAAGTGTGCCGTTTGAGGCCCAACCCGTTGATAGCAGTGTCTCGTTTGGAATCACATCCGTTCATAGCAGTGTCTTGTTTAGACCTCAATGCTTGTATACAAAGATCTCATTTGGAGATACCGTTATCGCAAGCAGTGTTTCTACTGCTACTACCACTGCTCCCATCACTCCTGCTCGTTCACTCCACGCACTACTACTACTTCACTGTTACCACTACTACCATCACTACAACTTCTACTGCTACTACTACTGTTACTATTACTGCTGCTGCTGCTGTTGCTGCTGCTGCTAGTGTAGCTATGCTACTGCAACTACTGGCCGTGCCACTGCGACTGCCGCTGATGTTGCCACTGCGACTGCCACTGCGAATGCGAATGCGAGAACACCAGAATTCTACAACAGCACTCTTACATGAATACCACCGGCAATGTTTCCAGCTATGCTTCTACACATCGCTGTTAGGTTGCTTTGCCCGGATAGTTGGGGCCTTGTGTGGGCGTATGGGGGCCCAGGGCTCGGAATGCCAGGGTTTCTCCATGTTCTTAGGCCCCCTCTTGGGCCTGGCTTGGCCGCGTCTTGGGCCATCTTGGGGCTCACTGGGCTGTCTAGGGACGCGCTTGGAGGCTTGTTGGGCCGTCCTGGGGCGGTCTTGTGGGTCTCCGCGGCCGTCTTGGAGCGTCGGCTAGCCGAGAAGGCGAGAAGGCAAAACACCTTCAAACACACTTGAAACATTAAAGATTTTGGCCTCTGGGGGCATGCTTCAGAGGACTGTGGGAGGCTCTTGGATGCCTCGTGGGCCTTGTTGGGGGCCTCTTGGGCGCTCCTTGGAGCCTACTTCGGCGCGTCTTTGGGAGGAGGGCTCGATCTGTGACGCTCGGGGGCCAGGATCTCCGTGAGGGGTGCCGAAAAAATGATATGCCTTGGGCGCGTCCTGGGAGCCTCCTGCGGCCGCCTGGGGGCCGTGTTGGGCGCCTCTTGGGCTTTCTTGACGCCTTCTCAGGCCGGTTTTCGTGCGTTTTGGGGGCCTCATGGGGCGGTCGTGGGGACCTTGAACCAGCTTCTGCGCCATATTCCCGACACGCAGCGCATGCTAAAATTTGGTGTTTTTCTTTTGGGAAACAATGATTTTCGGCTCCTGGGGCCATCCTTGGACACCTCTTGGGCGTCTCTGGGGCCGTCGTGGAGGCTTCCTGGGCCGTCTTGGGTTTGTTTTCGGCGGTCTTGGGCTCTCTTGGAGCGCTCTTGGGCCGTCTCGGGGGTGTCTGGGGCCGTCCTGGGCGCGTCCTGGGAGACTCTTGGGGCCGCCTGGAGGCCGTGTTGGGCGCCTCTTGGGTCTCTTGACGCCCTCTCGGGCCGGATTTCGTGCCTCTGGGGGGCCTCTTGGGCCGTCTTGGGGCGGTCGTGGGGACCTTGAACCAGCTTCTGCGCCATATTCCCGACGGGCAGCGCATGCTAAAATTGAGCGTTTTTTTCAGGAAAACAATGATTTTCACCTATTGGGGCCATCCTTGGACGCCTCTTTGGCGTCTATGGGGTCGTCGTGGAAGCCTCCTGGGCCGTCTTGGGTTTGTTTTCGGCGGTCGTGGGCTCTCTTGGAGCGCTCTTGGGCCGTCTTGGGTGTGTGTGGAGGGCCGTCCTGGGCGCCTCCTGGGAGCCTCTTGGTGTCGCCCTGGGGCTGTTTTGGGCGCCTCTTGGGTTCCCTTGACGCCCTTTCGGGCCGGTTTTCGTGCGTCTTGGGGGCCTCTTGGGCCGTCTTGGGGCGGTCGTGGGGACCTGGAACCAGCTTCTGCGCCATATTCCCGGCAAGCAGCGCACGCTAAAAGTGATCGTTTTTCTTTAGGAAAACGATGATTTTCACTTCTGGGGGCCATCCTTGGGCGCCTCTTGGGCGTCTTTGGGGCCGTCGTGGAGGTTTCCTGGGCCGTCTTGGGTTTGTTTTCGGCGGTCTTGGGCTCTCTTGGAGCGCTCTTGGGCCGTCTCGGGGGTGTCTGGGGCCGTCCTGGGCGCCTCCTGGGAGCCTCTTGGTGCCGCCTGGGGGCCGTGTTGGACGCCTATTGGGTCTTTTGACGCCCTCTCGGGCCGGTTTTCGTGCCTCTGGGGGGCCTCTTGGGCCGTCTTGGGGCGGTCGTGGGGACCTCTTGTCCCATATTGTGCGCCATATTCCCGACAAGCAGTGTGTGCTTAAATGTGACGTTTTTCGTTTGAAAAAAACAATTATTTGGGCCTGTGGGGGCCATCCTGGGGCGCCTTTTGGGCGTCCCTGGGGCCGTCGTGGAGGCCTCCTGGGCCTTGTCGGGGCCGTTTTCGGCGGTCTTGAGCTCTCTTGGAGCGCTCTTGGGCCGTTTTGGGGGTCTGGGGCCGTCCTGGGCGCCTCTTGGGCCGCGTGAGCGCCTCTGGGGCGTCCCCGGAGCCGTTGTGGGATATTTTCAATCGATCAAGACAGGGACCCTTCCCGCACGCACGGGTCCCTGCATTGTAGAGAAGACTAGTGTGTACAGTACCCGTGCTTGCTGCCAGTGGCGGCGGGTGGTGCCGAGCCATGGGTGGGTCTGCAAGCGACAACCACATGCCAGATGGTGGGCGACTTTGTACTCGCACAGATCGTGGGAGCCGTTGATCCTGAGGAGCTCTTGGCGGGGGGCTCGAGGGGAAGGGAAAGGAGATATCCGGTCGGTGTGCGGCCTGGACTACTCAGAGCGGCTCCGATGTTCGTAGTTCGCACTGGCCTCTGCGGTCCCTTCGGGCTTGCGGCAGAATGGAACTCGGAAGCATGGTGCCGCCGACGCCGTCGCTGTCGCCGCCGTCGTCGCCGCCGCCGTTTTCGCCGTCGTCGCCGTCGTCGTCGTCGTCGCCTTTGCCGCCGACGCTGTCGCTTTCGTCGTTGCCGTTACCGCCGCCGTCGTCGTCGCTTCGTCGTCGCTTCGTCGTCGTCGTCGTCGTCGTCGTCGCCGTCGTCATCGTCGTCGTTGTCCGATGGACACGGGAACAGCGAGCGGGACACACGGGGGGGACGCTCTCCAAGGCTCGCACCTGGAGCCTCGGGAACCGAGGCCCGAGGCAGCGTGCGGTTCTCGCGGGAGCCCCCCTCGGCGCCACGGCGGGACGCAGCTCGAAAGACCGGCGCGGGTGGACCCCAAGAGGGGTCCGGAGACCCATTCGAAACTCCAGTCTCGAGGGTGGGTGTTCGAGGCCTTCTTTGGCCCTTGCGGGGGGGGGGCCTCCGTGTCGCAACGGCACGGGTCGCGTCCATAAACCTGGCACGCTTGGACCCCGGGATTGTCCCACGGGTTAGCGGGGGGGGAGCCGCCAGAGCGCAAAGGTCGGGGGCAGGGCGGAGGTCCGGCCGAAGAAGGGAAGAGAGACGACGACGACGACGACGACGACGACGACGAAGACGACGACGACGACGACGACGACGACCAGGAAACCGCCAGGCGCGGGCCCACCATTCTGCCACGAGAGGCCTCCCTGTGGCAGAATGCACCTGGCCCTGTCTTGGAGGGGCCCGACGGCCCCAAGAGAGCCGCAAGAGAGCCCCCATGGGGGCCTCGAGAGGGCCCCAAACCGCATGTATTTGATATGATTGCTTTATTTGCCAGCGGCTCAGACTGCTTAAGGATTCGAACGAAGCACGGGCAAGCTAGGCTGGCTAGTGCGACACAGATCTGCTCAAGGTACCATTGAAACGAGGCATTGGGCTGGTGTGGGCCGAAAGAAGTGCCTTGAGCGAGAAGGCGACAGACATTAGCAATCATTCTCGTGCATCACTTACATGATTGCTTTATTTGCCAGTGGCTCAGACTGCTTGAGGATTCGAACGAAGCACGGGCAAGCTAGGCTGGCTAGTGCGACACAGATCTGCCATACTTCAACCTGAAACAACATCCATCACTCAAGCATTGTGCTGGGGCTTAACCCCGCATTCTTTTCCATCTCTCGGTGGCATGCTGTGCTATACGCGTTCGGTGCAGTGTGTCAGCCAGGAGAGCGCAGAGGGCGGGGGGGTAGGCGTTTTTGAGACGGGTGAGGAAACCGCCCTCAGAAAAGCAACCGGAGAGCTCAAGGTGAGGCTTACCGGTAAAGGAGCAAACCCCTCTGCCTTTGCAAACTAATTTATCTAAACCAGGGTGTGGGCTGCACTTCCAGAACCTTATTCGAGTGCGAGCACGAAAGGGGCGACCACAGGCACAGTAATCGACAACCCTATCACAGACATTGGGAAGCTTAGCGAAGGCGCGGCGGTCGGGGCGAAGCCACAGGAAACTTTGCCAGGGGTTCTCCTCGCCGCCCGGAATATTCAACCTATAGCAGAGGCGCTGAATACGCTGTGAGACCCACCCTACTTTGTTAGAGACGCGAAGGCTCTCGAGGTCTTTACCAGAGAGGCCCGGGATCCCAAGGGGAAAAGCGGGGCTCCGGAGAGCCGAGGGCATGCTGCTGGACGGGGGGGCCCGACGGGCCCTCGAGTACCCGCCACACGGAGTTCCTAAGAAAACGACTTTGACCAGTCCAGAAGTCAGCCATCCTTGGAGGATCCTCCAGACCCCTGGTCGAGACAAATCGAAATGGTCACCGTGCTGGATGTCCCATGCAACAACAGCCTCACCTCTTTGCCTCAGATGTTTGCTCAGCGCCCCACATCCCGAGAAGACTTCGATGCGCACTCTTGTCTGATGTGGGGCGCTCCGAAATGCAGCGCCAAGGACCTGTTGAAGACGCCCACGTAGTCCCCGCCTGCTGCTCGGAGGGCCTCGCGCTGCTGGTCGCTGAGCTTGCGAAGTTCCAGCGAGAGGCGTCCGTGCTTCTCGTAGCGCAGCACGGACTTGAACGCCTTCCACCCTCCTCGTTGCTGCACGGCGCCCAAGCCTCTGGCGCCCGTGCTCCGGTCGTGGCTGGCCCCTCCATGCCGGAGGGAGTAGAGGGTGGCCTTGAGTAAGCTCACACCCAGAGCGGAGGTCGCGCTCTGGAAGTCCTCTGCCAGTTGGTTGTAGCCCAGGCCCAGGAAGAGGTCGTCTGGCCCACGAAGGGCTTGCACAAAGGAGATCGGGTCCACCATCCACTGCTGCCTGGGCAGGTCGAGTGGAACTGAGAGGTCGTACTCGTTGGTCTTGGTCGGGATCTCGTATTCCGAGGCCCGCACCACGAACGTCAAAAAGATCGATGCGCCTCCCTCCTTTGGCAGCGGCAGGACTACTTGCCTTGCTCGCAGGGCCAGCACTTCCGAGGGGCGCATGTAGGTCTCGAACATGATCAGGACGGCCAAGCCACTGAGCGGCTTCCCAGCACGGCACAGCCAGCAGGCCACTGCCCGCACCACCAGGAACGGGACGGGCGGTCTGGATTTGGACGGCTCTAGGACGTTCCAGCCCTTCAGCGTCTGGTGCGTCAGGGGGAAGACCTCGCGGATCCCAGCCCTGTGGAGGGCGGGCTCCGCCCAGAGCAGCGCCGTGGCCAGCCGCTGAGTAGACGCCTTGGAGCCCCCACGGTCGTAGATTGACTCGGCGTACTCTGCCAGCGTCTCGCCCCACGTGTGGCGCGGCCAGTCCGGGAGGAAGGCCATATTCAGCCAGCGCACCAAGCCGAAGATCATCCCGAGGTAGAGCTCCTGCGTGCGAGGCCTGACCTTGGCAGCCGCAAGGCGGGTCTGGCGCGGGCACAGCTGGCGCCTCCTTCGGTCGAAGTCGCTCTCCGAGTGACTGAGGCCAAGCCTTGCGCGCCGCCCAGCCAAGTCTGGCCTGCCCCCTGGCCCGCCCAGCGCCGGCACCACGGCCCGCCTCGGCATGTCCTGGCAGCGGCTGCCTGGGCGGCGAGGCGAACGGCTCCCGCGCTCGCTCGGCGCGCGAGGGCCGGAGCGGCAGCTCGCCGAGGCCACCGGCGTGGGCGGCACCGCCCGGAGCGTCGCCACCCCCATGCACGTTCTTGGGGCCTTGAGGCTGAAAGCGTCGGGACGGACCGTCGCTTGGGTTCCACTCTGAGGGGAGCCACCTCACCTGAACCTTCAGATCTGCGGCGACTCCCACGGCAAAAAGGACCCGACAGACTCCCAAGAGACGACGATTGGCAGCACGACCTTTGGCAGCAGCGAGAGTGCGGGACATGCTATCGCCAAGAAAGAGTCGGCGAGAACAGTGCTCCCGAGCATCTCTAGCTGCCCGGCGGACGGCCCAAGTCAGAGCGGCACCCTCGAGTCCGTGGATGGCATCCTTGCGCTTCCAGCGGCCGCAGCCGACCACGCGCCAGGGCCGGGCGTGCATCTTGCCGTAGTCGACCTCCGGGAAACCTGCCGAGCGACCTGCCAGCAGGAGGGCGGGCTCTGGTGCCCGCGCTATCTCCTGCTCCAGCGCCCTTTCGCGGGGGGCGCCGACGGCAGCGAGCACGCCTCGGAATCGGGCGCGCTCGGAGACCCGGCCGACGCGCTGCACGTCCTCGAGGTCCCACTCGGTCTCCACGATGCCGTAGCCCCAGGGGGGCGCGTCGAAGCAAGTGACCACCTCGCTCCACGGACGCCGGGTGTCGGCCCGAAGACAAGGTAGCAGCGCCTTGACCCAGCCCATCTCACGGGCCACGCTCTTCCAGAGCGGCTGCTCCTTGGAGTAGGAGGCCTGCGCGAACTCGCATGAGGAGTGCAGCATGGCCAGTCCCTCCCGGCGCAGCATCAGGATGGAAACCAGGTGGCCAATCAGACGCTCGAGCTCCTGGCCAGAGACCTTGGCCCGACCCGAGAGGACATGCTCGAGGGCACCGTAGACACGCCATAGCCGGCGGCCCAGCACGTGCCAGCAGCCCGTCTGCAAGTCGAGCTCGCATCCCAGCAGCTCGCCGCGCCCGGCTGGGGCGGGGTCTAGCTCTGAGACCGCGCCCTTGGCCGCGAGCGCCGCCTGCATGTCGGCGACGGCGGTGGCGGCGCGGACGGAGGACTGGGACAGCACAGCAAAGTTGTCTATGTACAGGACCTTGGCATCCGCAGAGTTCAAGTCGATGCCGGGACACTTGTCCAAGCACCACGGCTGCGATGGCAAAACTGACTTGACAAGGTGAAGATGTGCTTCTTGGATGAAATGCACTGCCCAGCTCCATCCCATGGGTACCACCTTGAATCGAAAGCGAACCTGGCCGCTCTTCAACGTCAGCCCGCAGGCGCCCCGAACCTCTGGAGGCAGGAAGCGACTCTCGATCAGCGGGAGGTTGAAGTAGCGCCTGCACCAGGGCGGCAATGCATATTGATAGAAACAGCAATCGACGTCTCCAGAACTCATGCCGATCATAGTCACTCCTGACGCCTCCAGCGAGGATAACGCCTCGCCCGTCGCGAGCGCCGTGTGCTCTGGAGTGGTAAAGTGCATGTTGGGAGTCCTGGCGTCGCAGATGAGACGCAACCGCTTGTCCTTGCGAGCCACAAAAAATATGCCAGCTTCCTCCAACACTGGCTCCGAGCTGGCCTCGATCACTCCAGAGGTGTAGAGCTCCCCCAGCGCGTGGCCGTAGTCGTAGCCGAGCCGCCCGAGCTTCGGGTCCATGGCACGAGGAGCACCTGCATCACGAATTAGCGCTGCTGCCTCCACTGGGGATCGCAACAGCCCGCGCCCAGTCTCCAGCTTGGTCTGCAGGTCAGCGGGGAGGACCTCCGTAAGAGCCACCTTGCCCGCGCCGATCTTGGGAAGAGAGATATTTCCCCGCTGACTGTTCGAGAACCGGCGGCCTCGACTTCCGAGTAGCCAGGCCTGAGACCCTGTAGCGTCCTCCACGCTTCATGGGGACTAGGGCGATCAACGGGCGGCGACCATTTGCCGTAGGTCGTGGCCAGCCGCCTAACTGCAGTACGCTGGGCCGCCGTCAGCGGGGAGAGGGCGGGTGCATGGCGCCCCTGCCCCCCAGCTCGTTGAGGGAGGTGATGCCGTCAAGTAGCCGCTGATCCTGTCGCCTCCTGGCCGCAGCTCTCCTCCGTGCTGTGAGTGAAGTGCCGCATGCAGCCCCACCGCTCAGCATCGACATCAGCTCCGGACCGATCGGAATAGGAAGTAGGTCTCGATGGCGCCCCCCACCGCCGTCGTCACAAAACATAATGCCGTAGGACCAGCACCTCCCCTTGAGAATAGTCGACCGCTCGGGGGCAGGCGGGCGACCGAGCCACTTTAATATAGGGATGGGGCTAGGAAGCCCCGTCAGCACCGCCCTTGGCCTTTGCTTTAGACTTCGGCCTGGCTGTGCTGTTCTCCTCCACGCCACCTCGGGCAATAATCTTTTCTGCACGTCCTTTGCGTCGTTCTTTGAGTACTGCTGCCTCTTCCTGGAGACGGGCTGCCACCCAGCTCTGAAGTGCAGGACAAACCAAAGCTCCGCCACGCCCACGCTCTTGTCCCAAGAAGATCTCACGCTCGTCGAGCCAAGCTAAGCCCCCCGCACTGCGAACCGCGCCCGCCTCGTGCTCACGAAGTCTGTTGGCGTAGACCTCTTCCCAAAGTTGGTACCGTCGGGACACAGCTTCGAAAGTCGCGAGCTCGCCCTCATTGAGTTGGTCCTTTTCGGCGCCCATCTCCAGCAGCTCTGAAAGGAACTGGTGTTCGTCAACTCCAGCATCCGCGGCGGTGAGGTTCTGGGTCTGCCTCCACCACATGTGTCGCTGAAGGGGGGTCTGGCCCAGCCGCTTGAACTGCTGCACCAGCCACAAGGTTGTCCGCGGCCCAAGGACAGGGACGTCCAGCTGCGGGTTGGAGGACATGATGTCCACCGCTTCGGCGAAGTCCCTGACCCTGGTGCCGCCGGCGTCGTACTTGACAGGAAGAGTCCGAAGATCCTGCTCTGCAGCTTGACGTTCCTGCCGGGGGGTCGGAGTGCCCTCGTAGGTGTCGGCGCTCGCGACTGCCAGCTTGGTGCCGTCGGCGAGCTCACAGATCCCCCGATCTCCAAGAACGGCAACGGGCACAGTGCCTGCTGGAAGCTCGTCACCTGGTCGGTAGCCAGCTCGGGCCTCCAAGGCAACCCAGCGAGGAGCGTCACCAGCGTCAGCACGAACGGCGAGAGCCCCGCCAGGTCCCGGCGGTGGCGCGAGCGCCCCGAATGGCTCGTCGGGGAGGCCCTCCTCCTGGCGGATCTCGCTAGCAAGCTGCTTGCCCTCAGCCAGCAGCCTTGCTTCGTTCCGCTTGTAGCGGTCCATGTCCATGCGGAGGATGTGGCCCGAGAGCTTCGTGGGCAGGCCCCCGAGGGGGCCGACTGGACAGAGCTGCAGGGCGTCCGCAAAGTCTTCCTCGTAGATGTCAAAGTGTGGGGTGACCACCACCCATCTCGTCGCAGTGATCCTGCCGACCAAAATCCGTTCATGCCAGTAGTTGTCCTCTTGCTCGTAGTAGGCGAGGACCCGAGTACCCACCTGCAGGCTCTCCAGGGCCTTGGCCGTCCGTGAGGCTGCCATGGGTCACTGGCTGGGACTCTCTCCGAGCGCGTCGTCTTGTCGTCCAGCCGAGGACCTCGCGGAGCACAGCGCCCAGGACCAGGCCGAGCACGAGCGAGAGGCCTAGCTCCAGCCGGGTGTGCCCTGGCTCGGGGCAGGCTGGCGTGAACGTCGGCTGCCCGTGCAGGTGCTCTGGTCCGCACCTGTCGAGCTGCCCCTTCAACAGCCCGATGAGGGCCTCGTCGGGCGAGGCGTCGAAGTGGCAGCTGCAGTCGCACCCGCTGCTGCTGCTGCCGAGCCAGGTGCCTATCGCCTGGCCGCCGATCACCGCGACCCAATGAGCCCCCGCCCCGACGAGGGCTGTGGCCATTGAGAGAATGACTCCCCGAAAGAAGTGCCTTGAGCGAGAAGGCGACAGACATTAGCAATCATTCTCGTGCATCACTTACATGTTTCTTGGGCTTGCGAGAGGGGCACCCAAGTACATGCGTCACGGGTCCTTGTCGGGGCCCTCTGGGGGCTCCCAGCCTGTCCTGGCCTCTTGGGGCCGCCATGGGCACCTGAGGACCCGTCCTGGCGCAGTCTTGAGCCGTCTTGGGGCCCTCCTGGCAGCCTCCTGAGGCGGAGGCGTCTTGGGACGAACTTGAAGGTCTGTGGGGCCGTCTTGGACGCTTCGAAGACGAACAGCACGGGAACTCCCGAAATACAGTACACGTTTGCCCTGGGGATTGGGACGCTTCTTCCTTGTTCGGGCTCTCCTGAGGCTCTCTGGGAGCCCCCTTGGAGCATTTGGGGGGGCCTCTTGGGCCGTCGGGGGGCTGTCTGGGGCGTCTTCGAGCGCTCGGGGCCCGTCTCGGAGGCTCTCTTGGACCGTCTTCGGCCGTCTTCGGAAGAGGAGGAGGAGGAGGAGGAGGAGGAGGAGGAGGAGGAGGAGGAGGACAAGGAGGGGGAGGAGGAGGAGGAGGAGGAGGAGGAGGAGGAGGAGGAGGAGGAGGAGGAGGAGGAGGAGGAGGGCCCTCCTGGGGGCCTCCGGGAGCGGCTCGGAGCGCTCTTTTGAGCCATCTTGGGAGCGCGCCGGGGCCCCCGGGGCCGCGTCGGTGGCCCCGCAGGGGGCCGGTCCGCTTCCACTGCTCGAGGCTTTGGCGAGCGGTGAACGCTGCATTATTGACTACCTGCCAGACCACCCCAACCCAACCCGAAGACCCGAATTTCGGGTTGGGGGGGGGTAAGGGTTCCACACGTGTTTTTTCGACGTTTCCCGACCCCCCCCCACTGGAAATCGAGGGTAAATCTGAGCCTTCGGGTTGGGTTGGGGTGGTTTGGTGGGTGGTGAATTATAGGAGAGATGATATTGGGTTCCAGCTTCGCCTCCCGCATCTCGCTCAACAGCGCGAGCGCCCACGGCCACTGCTTGCCGGACTCGCAGGCGCTGATCCCAGCATTGTAGCTGATGACGTCGGGCTCCAGCTTCGCCTCCCGCATCTGGCTCACCAGCGCGAGCGCCCGCTGCCACTGCCCACCCGCCTCGCACGCGCTGATCCCAGCGCTGTAGCTGACTAGGCCTGACCCGTGGCCTACCAGCCACGAAGCAAGTCCAAGATGACACTTTGGACCAGGGCAGAGATGCTACCGAAAGGCTTTCGTGAGCGCGTTGGGCCCGAACTTCGCCTCTGCTGTTGCTGCCTCCAGCTGCAGGCTGCTGCCGCCTGTGGCATGTTGTTGCTGCTGCTGCTGCCGCCAGCTGTTGCTGTGCCGCCGCTGCCTGCTGCGGTCTGCTGTTGTTCGCTGTTGCTGCTTGAGGCTGCAGAGTGCTGATTCTTGGTGCCCTTGCCAGGTGACGCAATCTGCAGCTCGTGAGTGGAGCGAGGAGCGAGGGCAAGGAGCGATGAGTCAGGGTCGAGGGGTGGAGAGCGGGGAAGCGAGGAGCGATCAGCGAGGAGCACGGAGCGAGAAGGGAGGAGCGACGGCCCAGAGAGAATGCGAGAGAGAGAGAGAGAAGAGAGAAAGAGAGAGAGAGAGAGAGAGAGAGAGCGAGAGAGAGGCGAGAAGGGATAAGGGAGAGCCGAAGAGGAGAGGGGAGGCAGGTGCCAGTAGCAAGGAGGGAGCAGCGGGGGGCCAGGAAAGAGATGGACGGAGCGAGGAGGAGCGAGCACAGAGAAGCCAGAAGCGAGGCGAGGGAGGCGAAGGGCGAGAAGAGAGCGGGGAGAAGCGAGGAGCGAGGAGCGATGCGCGTGGAGCGATAAAGCAGGCATGAACAGAACACGGCACACGCACGTCTCCGTGGCCTCGGCGCGCGTGTAGCCGAACATCTGGTCTCCTTCGCTCACGGGGCTCTCTTGGGTGGCCGGCGTGGTCACAGAGCTCCCCAGGGAGCTTCCCTCGGAAGCCTCTTCGAGGTGTTTTTTGCAGTTTCTTAGGGGCCTCTTGGGGTCCTCTTGGGGCCTCTTTGGGCCAGATTTGGGCGTCTTGGGGGCCTCCTGGAGCTTCTGGGGGGCCTTGTGGGGCCTCCTGGTGATCTCGGGGGTTATCTTAGGGCGTAGGCGCGAAATGTCATTTCGACCTCCCCACCTTGGGGGCCTCTTGGGCCGTCTTGGGCGCCTCTTGTCCCGTTGGGGTCGTCCTAGGCCGTCTGAGGGCTCCGACGGGGGGCCTCTGGGGCTGTCCTGGGGGGAGTGCGGGGGCAGGAGAGCCCAGAATCGAATCGATAAGTCGGATCGGCAATCGACATGAATCGGATCGGCGGAAATCGGCAGCCGAATCGGGAAAAGTCGAATCGGCGGAAATCGGCAAGCTAGTATGCCTCCAATAAGAAATCGGAATCCAAATCGGAATCCCAGGTCGAATCGAATCGGAATCGGAATCCATCGAAGTCGAATCGAATCGAATCGGAGGAATCGAAACGAGCCCTGCGGGGGGGCCTCTAGGGCCTGCTCGAACGCCGCGAAGACGAGCAAGCATAGAGAGCCACAAACGCGCGGGGCCGTCCTGCTGGCCCTCGTGGATCTCCCTCTTGGCAGAGAGTTCGCTGCTGCACAGCACATTTTCTGGCACCCAGAGGTTAAGAGACTGGTCCAGAGCCTTGGCAGAATCAAGGCTGGCAGAGGAAGTTTGCTGCTGCACAGCACCTTTTCTGGCACGCAGAAGTCAAGAGACTAGTCCAAAGCCTTGGCAGATCCAAGGCTGGCGGGTCAAGGTGTCGGTCCCGAGCGCGCACGTGTCGCCGACAGCTGCGGGAGGGACGCTCGGCTCCATGACCGACAGGGCGCTACCAGGGGCCGTCTGGGGCCGGTCTTGTGGGAGGCGGGGCCCTCTTGGGCCGTCTTGGTGCGCTCGTCAGTGCCTCCTGGGCCATCTTAGGGCGATCCTAGAAGAAATGCCTGTAGCCGCGTGGGGCCGTGCACATTCGAAGCGCACAAGGTATTCGCTTGATTTCTGGCCTCGTGGGCCGTCATCGAGGTCCTCGTGGGCCTCGTGGGCAATCTTGGTGCCAGGGCGGGAGTCTGGGGCCGTCTGGGAGCCCAGCGTGGGCCCTCTTGAGCAGTTCCTGAAGCGTCTTGGGAGGCCGCCCGAAGCTCCATAAAATCGTCGGGGGCCTGTCTTGATCTGGCTTGGGGCCCTCTTGGGCCGTCTTGGATCGCTCGTCAAGACCTCTTGGGCCATCCTGGGGCGATCGAAAACGTGCATGAAGCCGCGTGGGGCCGTTCTGGGCCCACCATGGCGAGAGTGTGGAACACATATGAAAACATAAGACTGTTGCTTGATTTCAAGCTTCGCGGGGCCGTCTTCGGAGTCCTCGTGGATTCTCTTGGGGACTCTTGGGCCGTCCTGGGGATCCATTCGGCCACCTTGGGGCCATGCATGGTGGAGGGTCTGGGGCCGTCTGGGAACCTTGTTTGGGCCCTCTTGGGCAGCACCTGCGAAGCTCTGTTGAGCTCTGCGGGGCCTGCTCGGGGCCGTCTTGGGGACCTCGTTGGCCGTCTTGGTGGGCTCGTGAAAGTCTCGTGGGCCATCTCTGTGCGATCTTGGAAGGACTTGGAGCCGTGCGGGGGGGGCCTTTCTGGGCCCGTCATGGGGAGAACGTGAAACATACAGGAATGGCACTGCTGTTGTTGGTGTTGCTGCTGCTGCTGCTGTTGTTGTTGTTGTTGCTGTTGTTGTTGTTGCTGCTGCTGCTGCTGCTGCTGTTGTTGTTGTTGTTGCTGCTGCTGCTGCTGGTGTTGTTGTTGTTGTTGTTGTTGTTGAACATTATTACTTCTAAAGAATAATTATTGTTGGGGCCCCTGGTGCACGGCCCCCCCGCCGCGCCTAGGCCGCAGCCACATTTTCATTATTTTCGTGAGGAAGTCTCAGGCAAAACGGGTTGGTCCGGATCCGGTTGTTTTGTTCCCCCCCGCTTTCCCTTGCAAAAAATAAGCTAAAGTGGACATTTCTTGTTCTAACATAACCAAACTTCAAGAATCCCTTTCAAAAAATAAGGTAAAGTGGACATTCGCGCGCGCAAGACGAAATCCTTCCAAAACCTTAGTTTTCGTAGCGAGTTTAACATAAAAACATCAAAAAACCAATGGTTTTTTTTTTTAAAAAAAAAATGTCAAAATTTCATCCCGCGCGCTCTTGCGGATTCGTAGGAAACCCAACACTTTTTAAACATTTCTGTCAAACGGGCTTTTGCGAGCAACTTTTTCGAACTTCTGCAACAACGGTTGCGCACCTGCCAGGGCCATCATCCCTGTCAAATAATACCATGCGGGACACATTCGTTTTTTCTTCGCGCGCGCACGCCGTCGTCGTCGGCCGCGGGGCCCTGAATAGTAGCCACGGTCGTCCGCATGCCACGAAGTGAAGTGTCCGAACGTCATAGGGCGGGAAGCTGGGTGTGGGTGGTGGCGAAGAGTCGTTTGGAAATTTGGTAGAGCTTGAACCGGCCCCCCCACAAAGTGGGGGTATTGCCCGCCTCCTATGAAAACCCTGGCACTGGTGAGAACGGAGTGTCCCCACGTGCTAGTAATTGTTGTTGTTGTTGTTGTTGTTGTTGAACATTATTAATTCTAAAGAATAATTATTGTTGGGCCCCCTGGTGCACGCCCCCCCCCGCCGCGCCTAGGCCGCAGCTACATTTTCATCACTTTCGTGAGGAAGCCTCAGGTAAAACGATGTGATCCAGATCCGGTTGTTTTGTTGTAATCCGCTTTCCCTTGCAAAAAACACTATAAAATGACATTTCTTGTTCTAATATAATCAAATTTCAAGAATCCCTTGCAAAAAATAAGGTAAAGTGGACATTCGCGCGCGCAAGACGAAATCCTTCCAAAACCTTAGTTTTCGTAGCGATTTTAACATAAAAACATCAAAAAACCAATGGTTTTTCAAAAAAAAAATTGTCAAAATTTCATCCCGCGCGCTCTTGCGGATTCGTAGGAAACCCAACACTTTTTAAACATTTCTGTCAAACGGGCTTTTGCGAGCAACTTTTTCGAACTTCTGCAACAACGGTTGCGCACCTGCCAGGGCCATCATCCCTGTCAAATAATACCATGCGGGACACATTCGTTTTTTCTTCGCGCGCGCACGCCGTCGTCGTCGGCCGCGGGGCCCTGAATAGTAGCCACGGTCGTCCGCATGCCACGAAGTGAAGTGTCCGAACGTCATAGGGCGGGAAGCTGGGTGTGGGTGGTGGCGAAGAGTCGTTTGGAAATTTGGTAGAGCTTGAACCGGCCCCCCCACAAAGTGGGGGTATTGCCCGCCTCCTATGAAAACCCTGGCACTGGTGAGAACGGAGTGTCCCCACGTGCTAGTAATTGTGGTTGCTGTTGTTGTTGTTGTTGTGTTTGCTGTTGTTGTTTCCCAACCATCCTGTGGTGGTGGGTCCTCGTTTTGAAAAGACAGCGCCCCGCGTTACCGCTCCCCCTCCTCCCCCTCCTCCCTACTCCCCTCTCTGCCTCTGCCCTCCGCATGTCCTCCACAGGGTGATCCACCGAAGGCACCAGTGGCAGGGTCCGCATACAGTTCCACCCCCATTTCGGCGCACCCCTCACACGTTTCGTGGCCCCATACGGTTCTCCACCAAAGGCCACAATGACAGGGTCCGCATGCAGCTCCACCTCCATTTCGGCGCACCCCTCATACGCTTCGAGGCCCCATAGAGTGCTCCACCAACGGCACCAGTGGCAGGGTCCGCATGCAGTCCCACCTCCATGTCGGCGCAACCTTTACACGTTTCGTGGCCCCATAGGGTGAAACACCGAATGCCGCAGTGGCAGGGTCCGCATGCAGTTCCACCTCCATTTCGGCGCACCCCTCACACGTTTCGTGGCCCCATAGTGTGCTCCACCGAAGGCCCCAGTGGCAGGGTACGCATGCAATTCCACCTCCATTTCGGCGCACCCCTCACAGGCTTCGTGGCCCCATAGGGTGCTCCACCGAAGGCCCCAGTGGCAAGGTCCGCATGCAGCTCCACCTCCATTTCGGCGCACCCTCGTACGTTTCGTGGCCCCACAGGGTGCTCACCAAGGGCCACAGTGGCAGGGTCCGCATGCAGTTCCACCTACATTTCGGCGCACACCTCACACGCTTCGTGGCCCCATAGGGTGCTCCGCCGAAGGCAGCAGGAGAAAGGTCCGCATGCAGTTCCACCTACATTTCGGCGCACCCCTCACACGCTTCGTGGCCCCATAGGGTGCTCCACCGAAGGCCCCAGTGGCAGGGTCCGCATGCAGTTCCACCTCCATTTCGGCGCACACCTCACACGCTTCGTGGCCCCATAGGGTGCTCCGCCGAAGGCACCAGTGGCAAGGTCCGCATGCAGTTCCACCTCCATGTCGGCGCAACCTTTACACGTTTCGTGGCCCCATAGGGCGTTCCACCAACGGCCATAATGGCAGGGTCCGCATGCAGTTCCACCTCCATTTCGGCGCACCCCTCACACGTTCCTTGGCCCCATAGGGTGCTCCACCGAAGGCCGCATTGGCAAGGTCCGCATGCAGTTCCACCTACATTTCGGCGCACCCCTCACACGTTTCGTGGCCCCATAGGGTGCTCCACCGAAGGCCCCAGTGGCAAGGTCCGCATGCAGTTCCACCTCCATTTCGGCGCACCCCTTATACGTTTCGTGGCCCCATAGGGTGCTCCACCGAAGGCCCCAGTGGCAGTGTCTGCATGCAGTTCCACCAACATTTCGGCGCACCCCTCACACGTTTCGTGGCCCCATAGGGTGCTCCACGGAAGGCCTCAGCGGCAGGGTCCGCATGCACTTCCACTTCCATTTCGGCGCACCCCTCACACGTGTCGTGGCCCCACAGGGTGCTCCACCGAAGGCCCCAGTGGCAGGGTCCGCATGCAATTCCACCTCCATTTCGGCGCACACCTCACACGCTTCGTGGCCCCATAGGGTGCTCCACGGAAGGCCTCAGCGGCAGGGTCCGCATGCAGCTCCACTTCCATTTCGGCGCACCCTCATACGTTTCTCCACGGAAGGCCTCAGCGGCAGGGTCCGCATGCAGTGCCACCCCCATTTCGGCGCACCCCTCACAAATGTCGTGGCCCCACAGGGTGCTCCACCGAAGGCCCCAGTGGCAGGGTCCGCATGCAATTCCACCTCCATTTCGGCGCACCCCTCATACGTTTCGTGGCCCCATAGGGTGCTCCACGGAAGGCCTCAGCGGCAGGGTCCGCATGCAGCTCCACTTCCATTTCGGCGCCCCCTCATACGTTTCGTGGCCCCACAGGGTGCTCACCAAAGGCCACAGTGGCAGGGTCCGCATGCAGTTCCACCTCCATTGCGGCGCACCCCTCACACGTTTCGTGGCCCCATAGGGTGCTCCACCGAAGGCCCCAGTGGCAGTGTCCGCATGCAACTCCACCTCCATTTCGGCGCACCCCTCACACGTTTCGTGGCCCCATAGGGTGCTCCACCGGAGGCCCCAGTGGCAGGGTCCGCATGCAATTCCACCTCCATTTCGGCGCACCCCTCATACGTTTCGTGGCCCCACAGGGTGCTCCACCAAAGGCCCCAGTGGCAGGGTCCGCATGCAGCTCCACTTCCATGTCGGCGCACCCCTCATACGTTTCGTGGCCCCACAGGGTGCACCGCAGGCCCCAGCGGCAGGGTCTGCATGCAGTTCCACCTCCATTTCGGCGCACCCCTCATACGTTTCGTGGCCCCACAGGGTGCTCCACCAAAGGCCCCAGTGGCAGGGTCCGCATGCAGCTCCACTTCCATGTCGGCGCACCCCTCATACGTTTCGTGGCCCCACAGGGTGCTCCACCGAAGGCCCCAGTGGCAGGGTCCGCATGCAGTTCCACCTCCATTTCGGCACAACCCTTATACGTTTCGTGGCCCCACAGGGTGCTCTACTGAAGGCCCCAGTGGCAGGGTCCGCATGCAGCTCCACCTTCATTTCGGCGCACCCCTCACACGCGTCGTGTCCCCATAGGGTGCTCCACCGAAGGTCCCAGTGGCAGGGTCCGCATGCAGCCACCATCCCACTTTGACACACCCTTACACGCTTCGCCCCCCCACGAGGAGCTCCATCGAAGACGATACCCACGACTGCGGCACTCACAGCTGCATATGGTTGGATCCTTTGCCAAGCTAATTCGCCTCGTTGGCCGTCATCGAGGTCCTCGTGGGCCCTCTTGGGCCGTGCCGCAAGCCTTTTGGGCCACCTTGGGGCCAGGGTGGAGGATTGGACCCAGTGTGGGCCCTCTTGGCAGCTGCTGGGGCGTCTTAGGGGACCTCTTGAGGCCCTGTTAGGCTCTCCGAGGCCTGTTCTGGGCCGTCTTGGGGCCCTCGTGGGCCCTCTTGGTGGGCTCGTGAGGGCCTCTTGTGCCATCTTGGTGCGATCTTGGATGTTGGGGTCCTCGTAGGCTGCCTGTGGAACCTCCTGGCGAGTCTTCGGGCCCTCTTGGGCCGTCCTGGCGCCCTCCGAAGCGTCTCGCTGTCCTGGGACTGTCTGGCCGCCCAGGGGCCATCCGGCGACTCTCTGAGCCCGTCGGTGAGCGTCCCCAGGGCGCTCCAGGCGCGATGGGCGCTCGGGGGCGCTCCGGAACAGTTTTCCGCAACGCCCGACTCGCACGCGCCGCGACCAGAATTGTAGTACAGATGACGTTGGGCTCCAGCTTCCCCTTCCATATCTCGCTCAACAGCGCGAGAGCCTGCTGCCAGCGCCCACTCTTCTCGCACGCGCTGATCCCAGCGCTGAAGCTGACTAGGGCGGACCCGTGGCCGTCCGAGATGACACGTTGGACCAGAGCAGAGATGTTGCGAAAGGCTTCCGTGAGCGCGTTGGGTCCGAACTTTGCCTCTGCTGTCGCTGCCTGCAGCTGCAGGTTGCTGCCTGCGGCATGTTGTTGCTGATGCTGCCGCTGCCTGCTTTTGCAGTGCCGTCGTTGCCTGCTGTGGCCTGCTGTTGCTCGCAGTTGCTGCTTGAGGCTGCAGAGTGCTGTTTCTTGGTGCCCGTGCTAGATGACGCAACCTGCAGCTCGTGAGTGGAGCGAGGAGCGAGGAGCAAGGAGCGACGAGTCAGAATCGAGGGGGGAGGTGGGGGAAGCGAGGAGCGATCAGCGAGGAGCACGGAGCGAGAAGGGAGGAGCGACGGCCGAGGAGAAAGCGAGGGAGAGAGAGAGAGAGAGAGAGAGAGAGAAAAAAAAAAAACTGTGACGTACCCAACCCATTTGTATCAATGGAAACGAGGAATTGGCCGAAACTTACATGGACAATCGACTTGATGTGTAAGCTACTTGGGACACGCGCCTATGGCATGATGCGCAGGAGAACCATACAAGAACGAGGGGCGACAGCTACAGACTCGAAGAGGACATGGGGAGTCGGGAACGCAGAGCAGGAGAAAAACGTACGGGAAGCCGAACCATCAGCACGGCAGCAGCAGAGGGAAGGTGACTGCAGGAGGAGAACAAGGACGAAAGCGGCGTCTAATTTGAGTCTGCGGTGGGTACCCACTGTGCTGTGCCCCTCAGCAGCCCTCGAAAGTGGCGACAGTTTCACAGATCGCAGCCCCCCAGGGATGGCGAGGTCTAATTTGAGTCTGCGGTGGGTACCCACTGTGCTGTGCCCCTCAGCAGCCCTCGCAGCCCCCCAGCAGGCTTCGAAAGTGGCGACAGTTTCACAGATCGCAGCCCCCCAGGGATGGCGAGGTCTAATTTGAATCTGCGGTGTACCCACTGTGCTGGGCCCCCCAGCAGGCCTCGAAAGTGGCGACAGTTTCACAGATCGCAGCCCCCCAGGGATGGCGAGGTCTAATTTGAATCTGCGGTGGTACCCACTGTGCTGGGCCCCCCAGCAGGCCTCGAAAGTGGCGACAGTTTCACAGATCGCAGCCCCCCAGGGATGGCGAGGTCTAATTTGAATCTGCCGTGTGTACCCACTGTGCTGGGCCCCCCAGCAGGCCTCGAAAGTGGCGACAGTTTCACAGATCGCAGCCCCCCAGGGATGGCGAGGTCTAATTTGAGTCTGCGTGTGTACCCACTGTGCTGGGCCCCCCAGCAGGCCTCGAAAGTGGCGACAGTTTCACAGATCGCAGCCCCCCAGGGATGGCAGTACCCACCCCAGCAGGCCTCGAAAGTGGCGCCGCCCCAGGGATGGCGAGGTAATTTGAATCGCGGTGGGTACCCACTGTGCTGGGCCCCCCAGCAGGCCTCGAAAGTGGCGACAGTTTCACAGATCGCAGCCCCCCAGGGATGGCGAGGTCTAATTTGAATCTGCGGTGGTACCCACTGTGCTGGGCCCCCCAGCAGGCCTCGAAAGTGGCGACAGTTTCACAGATCGCGGCCCCCCAGGGATGGCGAGGTCAACCCACTGTGCTGGGCCCCCCAGCAGGCCTCGAAAGTGGCGACAGTTTCACAGATCGCAGCCCCCCAGGGATGGCGAGGTCTAATTTGAATCTGCGTGTGTACCCACTGTGCTGGGCCCCCCAGCAGGCCTCGAAAGTGGCGACAGTTTCACAGATCGCAGCCCCCCAGGGATGGCGAGGTCTAATTTGAATCTGCGGTGGGTCACTGTGCTGGGCCCCCCAGCAGGCCTCGAAAGTGGCGACAGTTTCACAGATCGCAGCCCCCCAGGGATGGCGAGGTCTGATTTGAATCTGCGGTGTGTACCCACTGTGCTGGGCCCCCCAGCAGGCCTCGAAAGTGGCGACAGTTTCACAGATCGCGGCCCCCGAGGGATGGCGAGGTCAAAGGCAGGGGGGAAGAGAGGGACGGGAGGGGGTGGGAAGGAGACGGTGGGAAGGAGACGCGGTGGAAAGGAGACGCGCGAGCAGTGCTCTATTCAAAACGAGAACCCAACGCAGGAGGGTTGGGAAAAAGAGAACGAGAGAGAGAGAGAGAGGCGAGGCGAGGCAGAAGAAGGGAGGGCCGAAGAGGAGAGGGGAGGCAGGCGCTGGTAGCCAGGAGGGGGGAGCGACTCGGGCCAGGCGAGGGGTGGAGGGAGCGAGGCGGGTTGAGGACAGAAGGGCCCGAGGCGAAGCGAGAGAGGCATGGAGAGGCGAGCAGCGAGGAGGGAGCAGGGAGGAGCGAGGCGCGCGGAGCGAGCACGGAGGCACGAGACGAAGCCAGCACGCGCACGCCTCCACGGCCTCGGCGCGCGGTGTGGCCGACCCTCTGAGCTCCCTCGCTCATGGGGCTCCCTCGGGTGGCCGGCGCGATCACAGAGCTCCCCGGGAATCCTCCCCCCGGAAGCCTCTTCGTGGCGGTGGTTCGGGTGTCCTGGGGCCTCTCGGGGCCCTCTCGGGGCCTGATTTGGGCGTCCTAGGGGCCTGGGGCTTCTGGGGGGCCTCTTGGGGGCCTTCTGGCGGCTTCCGGGATCATCCTGGAGCGGAGGGCGCGAAATGTCACGCTTGGGGGCCTCTTGGGGCCCTCTTGGGCGCCTCGGGGCCCTCTTGGGCCGTCTTGGGGCTCTCACGGGGGCCAATGAGGCTGTCTTGGGGGAATTCGGTGAGCCTCCAAGGCCTGCTGGAACGCTGCGAAGGTAAAACTAAGGAATAAGCAAACAAATTCTCGCTTCCCTGAGGAATCGAAGCGATTGGGCCTCTCGAAGCTGTCCTGCTGGCCCTTGTGGATCTCTCTTAGGGCGTCTTGGGGGCCTCTTGGGCCGTTGGGGCCATCTTGGGCGCCTCTTCGGCCGTCTGTCTTTGTGGCTTTTCGGCCCCCTGGGGCTCCTCGGAGGCAAATCAAGTTTGCTGATGCACAGCATCTTCTGGTACGCAAAGGTTCCTGCATTGTAGAAGAGATAACGTTGGGCTCTAGCTTCGCCTTCCGCATCTCGCTCAACAACGCGAGAGCTGGCTGCCACTGCCCACTCTTCTCGCACGCGCTGATCCCAGCATTATAGCTGACTAGTGTGTACCCGTGGAGCGAATCCGCAGGTGCCCTGGCAAGAGCACGCGGCGGGGCCGACAGGCGGCGATAGCGGCAGCAACGACGACGACGACGACGACGACGACGACGACGACGACGACGACGACGACGACGACGACGACCACGAGCGGCCGCGATGGCGAGGCGGCAGTGACGGCGGCGGCAGCCCCGACGAGGTGATGCAGGGCGATCCGGGGGCCGTTCCGCGCGCCTGGCCTGCGTGCATCCCGGGTGCCCGGCCGCCGGGCCTGCCGGCTGGGCCCGGCATGCGGCTGCAGCTGCGCTGCCGGGCCCGCTCGCCCGCGCGCTTGCTTGGCCACCAAGTCCGGTCGAGCGGGGCCCTTCCCAGAACGCCCCCATCCATCCTCGATCGAACGGTTGCAGGGGGGCCCGAGGCCGCCCCCGGATGGCACCCGGGAGGATCGGTCCCTCAGGGGCAGATCCTCCCGGGTGCCATGGTTCCTCACGCTGGTTTTCAAGGGGAGCCGTTTTTTACCCAACAGCAAAGACTGATAGGTTTCTAGTAGGGTCATTTTAAAGAGAGCATCATGACGCCCCAAGGGGGTCTGGGCGCGATCCGGGGGAGGATGCCGGGGGGATGCCGGGGAACTTGTTTTAAGCAAGCACTTCGTGGTCTTCGAGTTCCCAGAACTCCATTCCTGGGCATGATTTTGAATGCCCGGCGCCAACTGTAAGCCACTTCGTGTTCTTCGTGCTCCCAGAACACCATTCCCGGGCCAGGCCCGGAGCCAACTGTAGGCCACTTCGTGTTCTTCGTGTTCCCAGAACACCATTCCCGGGCCACATTTTGAATGCCCGGATCCAACTGTAGGCCACTTCGTGTTCTTCGTGTTCCCGGAACACCATTCCCGGGCCACATTTTGAATGCCCGGAGCCAACTGTAGGCCACTTCGTGTTCTTCGTGTTCCCAGAACACCATTCCCAGGCTACATGTTGATTGCCCGGAGCCAACTGTGAGGCTGAGGCTGAGGCAGGCTGAGGCTGAGGCTGATGCAGGCTGAGGCTGAGAGGCTGACGCTGAGGCTGAGGCAGGCTGAGGCTGAGGCTGAGAGCGAGGCAGGCTGAGGCTGAGGCTAAGGCAAGCCGAGGCAGGCTAAGGCTGAGGCTGAGGCCGAGGCATGCTGAGGCTGAGGCGGAGGCTGTGGCTGAGGCTAAGGCAAGCTGAGGCTGAGGCTGAGGCTGAGGCAAGCCGAGGCAGGCTGGGGCTGAGGATGAAGCTGAGACAGGCTGAGGCTGAGGCTGAGGCTGAGGCTGAGGCTGAGGCTGATGCAGGCTGAGGCTGAGGCAGGCTGAGGCTGAGGCTGAGGCAGGCTGAGGCTGAGGCTGAGGCCGAGGCAGGCTGAGGCTGAGGCCGAGGGGCAAGCCCAGGCAGGCTGAGGCTGAGGCTGAAGCTGAGGCAGGCTGAGGCTGAGGCTGAGGCTGCGGCTGAGGCTGAGGCAAATTGCGGCTGAGGCTGAGGCTGAGGCTGAAGCTGAGGCTGAGGCTGAGGCAGGCTGAGGCTGAGAGGCTGAGAGGCTGAGGCTGAGGCTGAGGCTGAGGCTGAGGCCGAGGCAGGCTGAGGCTGAGGCTGAGGCTGAGGCAAGCCGAGGCAGGCTGAGGCTGAGGATGAAGCTGAGACAGGCTGAGGCTGAGGCTGAGGCTGAGGCTGTGGCTGAGGCTGAGGCAGGCTGCGGCTGAGGCAGGCTGAGGCTGAGGCTGATGCAGGCTGAGGCTGAGGCAGGCTGAGGCTGAGGCTGAGGCAGGCTGAGGCTGAGGCTGAGGCCGAGGCATGCTGAGGCTGAGGCCGAGGCAAGCCGAGGCAGGCTGAGGCTGA